CAGAAGTGCCCTTCGGCGGCGATACGACCCGGCCAGCTCACCTGGCTGCGGCCCCGTCACTCTACGATAAAGCCACCCGCAAAACCCCGTCATAACATCACCCCTTTCTCTTCCTTCTTCCTCCAGGCAGCTGAATTCTTGCATTTGTTAGCTCAGTTTAACGATATGGGTTTCCAGCAAAACGAAATCAAAGAAGTTCTTTTGCTTTGTGGGAATCAGAGGGAGAAGGCACTGGAAGAGCTCGTGATGAAAACCCAGTGACCAGCATCCCGGACCCCAGTCACAGCTTCCCCTCTCCAGACCGGACCACCGCAGGACTCGGGCGGTCGGCACTCGCTTACCCTCCGGCTGCTCCGTCCCCACCCCGAGCAGCACGGCTCACCGGGCACAAACCTTCAAAGCAGCGGCTTGGTGTCTCTCCTCCATTTTATGGACATCCACCACAAGCATGTTTGCCACTGTCCTAAGGCGAAGGCTTTACGGCAGGAGTGTTTATCTCGTCACCCACACATCTCCACCCTTGATCATCTCAGCTGTTTAGATTAGATGCAATAAGATCCAAACCACCTTCGGCTTAGGTTTTGCAAAACCCAAACCACCTGGGGTGATGGGTGCCATGTTTTCAACTACAATCAAATGTGGATTCTTGCAAGATTACATAAATCAGCGGAAGAGATTGTTTTCAGGAGAACTGAAGGCTTCTGCAGAAACATGTGTTGGTCCTTTCTTGGGAGGAGTCTTAGCTGACTTAGCGATGGTTGAATATTGTCATTGAAATCCGATCACATTAGCATCTCCTTTTAAACCAGAAACTTGAGAAAAACACACCGTTCAATGAGGGTAAAAAAAAGAAAAGGGGAAAGAAAACAGGCTGCCCCTGCTCTAGAAATACGTGGAGGTTATCCAGTGCAATGAAAAATGGCTTATGCAAGGGTTTGTGCTCGGAGAATTTCGTGAAATCAGAAGAGAGAGATGGGGAACAGCTCGGCTGCTCTCGTACTCTGCCCAAATCAGGAAAATTCAGGGGTTGCTTCCCGACACTGTGGAGACAGTGGCTCCAAATGAAGTTAAGCACAAATGTCAGGATCAGGAAAATCTGGATGCATTTTTGTGTGTAACTGAAGGACGGAGAATGGGAGATTCAAATCACCTTATGGAGTGTGTCTCTTGGCTTGGCACTGGAACAGTGGACAGTGTTTTCACAAAAAGTGTATTATTTTCCTGTGAATTAGATGCAGATGTAATTTCTTTGAGTAAAGATGGTTGGAGAGGTTGTTCTGAAATGTATTTGTGTCTTTTCCTGTGAAAACTGGCACAACGTAGCAGAGAAAATCCTTAATGAGTTGCATTAGTACCATTTTTCCATTGTACCCTGCCAAATGATCTCCCAGCCCAACGTCCTGCCATCGAGTTAAAACACCGTGTCCCTTCTCCGTGTATCTCTAGGTGGGTGCCAAACACCATTGCCTGGAAGAGGGAGCTTGGCTTCCGGGCTTTGGGGGACTTGACCCCTCCATACCCAAGGATGCTTTGTACCTTTCCATTCTTTAATGGCATTGAAAAGGAAAACGTGGCACCTTGTATGGCCAAGGGAGATATTTGTGGGGAGCTCACAGGCTCTTCTTGGAGCTCTCAGCCCTGTTTTTCCTCCAGCTTTCCCCTGGTTATACAAGCTTTTATTTTTGATACGGCCCTTATAAGGCAAGTCCATTCTACAGACAGCTTTTCGTTACGTTCATCCTTGCCAAGATGATGTCACCTTAAAAAAGAAACTTGCAAAAGGTTAAACTGTGATTAGATAGATCGCTTCGCCTCAAACTGTAGTCTTTGGCGGAATAAACCCCATGAAGATTGAAAGGGGAAGATAACAGTGCTGTGCCGGTGCCAGTAACGCATAACGTTGAGGGCTAAATTCTGGTGGAGCAAAGCACATTTGCAGCGTTGTGCCCACTCACGCTGAGCAGCCTCTTGCTCTCGTTAGAGATTTGCTTGATTCTGGCTCATCATTTTTTCCCCCTGGTTGCAGAGGTAAGAACTGTAGCCTTTTTCCTCCCCATGCATCTAAAATTATCTTGCGTTACTTTCTGTACCTTGGTCTGGATTGATGGATGCAACAAATTACTCCTCTCCTGGGAGCATCCGTGCCATACTCAACAGTGCCTGCC